ATATATATATATAAGTAATTAAACACCGAGGCAACTACATATCATCAAAGAGGCAGTTGACTTTTAAGCATGAAAGCTCGCACATTCTAAATCAATTAGAAAAACCGTGCTTTAAAGAAATAAATAAAATTGAAATTATTTGCATTAATGAAGTAATTAATAATAATAATAAGGAAGCATTGAGAATTTATTTGGTACACTTAATTAATTGTACTTCTGATTGAGATCTCCCCTCCTATCAGGATTCGTGTTTTATAGAATTAATCCGTTGTACTCTAATCGGACCTCCCCCCCATCATGACTAAAATATATAAATTTATTAAAAATATTCTTATTGGAGCAAAGATCCACTAACAGCCCCAAACCACGGCAGAGTATATCGATAAGATGTCATCAAAATCGCAAGTAGACTTCAGTCATCTCAAAATGAGAAATGCCCAAATGATGGAGTGGGAAAATTCGAATTAAGATTGTGTCAAAGGAAAAAAAGTTTTATTAAAAAATGGGATTGTTGAAGCTAGTCTTGGTCATTTTGACGAACTTGACTCGACCTGATTGGAGCCTAATTAACTTGCATAAACGTAGGACACATAAAATTTTACAAAAATTTTGCATTGTTTGTGCTCTGTCAGTCAAAAACACGAGAAACGGATCCACACAGTAGACACACTAATTTTCCAGATAACTTGAATGAAAACACTTAGCTACCCACACATTTTCCAATTTTGGGTGTAGAGGCTGGCTATTTGGCAGCTAGAAGGCAGGATTTTGGGAGCCTAGTGTGGTGGAGACTTCAGTAAGGAGCAATCAGATCTCACCACGCACCGCAATAAACGGTGGCCCTAAGTAAACTCAAAGCAGCACCTTTACACGCTGAGTTAGAGTCATAAAACTGTCCTAGACAACGTGTATGTGTGTGTGTGTGTGTGTGTGTGTGGTAGGGGAGGGGGGGGGATAATTGAGTTTAGATGTTGGGCATATTCTAAAACGGAAAAGACTCCACATTAAACTAACTAAACAGAAGTACCCAATCTCCATAGAAATTTGTGACCTAACCACGAAGCGGATTGTGGCAACCTCACGACTTTGCTTGATCGCTCAATGTCATGGATAAGTCAATTAGCGTCAATAGATCATCAACACATCATGTTCAATTGCAGAATAAATTTTAAAAAAATTACAAAACTAATAAATTATACTTTTTTTTAATATCTGATTTGGAGGACTTACCGAAAAATGCCATCTGTTGTGAGGCCGCCATGTTGTCGAATAAAATTGGCAGTTTGATAAACAACTCGAGGTACATATTTGGTCTCCGCAGAGGTGTAGGCAAACACTTCTGAGAGGTGAGTTCCAAAGAGACCTATAAAAAAGTGAAATTTGTATTCATTCATTAATTTTTTTTGTAGATTTCCTTTTATTGGCAAAAAAATTTATAACACAAGATACGACAGTATGGAAAGTTTTTGAAGGAAGGCCAAGAAGGTCCAAACCAAAAGGGTTTCAGGGTTTCTATTTTTTCTTACGTGGGGTATGCGATAGATTTACCTCCACGTGGTGCACCCTGGGCAACGTATATTCATACGACAAAATAGTCTATTAACCGGCAGTTGATTTCTCACTTCAAACTACTATGGCCGGACTATTTGTCATATTCGACCTCTTCCACAGTACTCATCTTATCATTTTTCTAGCTTTTCTACCTTCGTCTTTGAAACACTCTTCTGTTCCCCCCCCCCCTCTCGACTTTTTTCAATGTGATGTTCCTTCCCCTCTGTGAAGGCCGAAGTCAACTAAAGGGCTAATGATATCCATCAAAACGCCTGCCATTTGACATAAATAAATAAAAAAATAAATATTTTTACATGATTATTCCGTTTTTTCTATGAAAAAAAGATCCTTTAAGTAGGCTTGCCGTGAATCTGATGCCAACTATGAAATTGTTTACAACCAAATGGACACCCAAATCATTACAATTTATCATATCTACAACTTCAAAAGTACATTTGAACGCCAATTGGAGCCATAATTAAGTGCGGGAAAAGCCAATATTGTAGAAGGCTCTTTTATCTTGACATGAAAGCGCACATTACACGATCAAGAATATGCAATATGTGGAGGTAATGTATGCTATATTTGCAGGGGTATAGAGGAAATTTCTTATAGGCTCACACCAAAGGTTCAGGAAAGTGGCACACAAAGCATAGTTAACTGAGCACGCATTGGGTAGGCCTCCTCTATTCCCACCAATATTACACGTAGAATTAAATCAACTAATAGTGCATTAATAAAAAATTGCCCGTAAGCTTATTACGTTGCGAAAGTACTTTAAGATGGAATTAATTTTTAATTAAAGTTGCTTGAAATGCACACAAAGTGGCAAAATAACTGCAGATAGCATTGATTAAACAATTAATACCAAAAAGTCATTAATAATGGCGATAGCAGTATTCTTACTAGCCTTAATTAGGATAGAATGCATGCCCTAGACATTAAATGTTAATTTCTACGCATTGCCAATCCATGCACCATAATATAGATAAGTGACCCACGAAAATGTATTACAAACAGAGAAATCGTGGTGCACCAGTGGAATGTGGTTATAAATCTAAAATTTTGAAATATCCGAAAAAGTGCATAGAGGAAGTAAGTGGGAATAATGTAGCAAGCTTCGTAATTAAAATAAAATGAGCAATTTTTTGCTACATTTCGAGCAAGTCTGATACATTTTTCCCCACGACAACACGTGTTTTAAGAATTAGTCCAATGGAAAAATGATTCAAGCTAATTGAACCTCGTGACGATGCAGTCTTTTCAAACAAGATCTACACCAAATAGAGGAAAATAAGTCCTTCTGTAATTAAACAAATATGATGTATAGGATCGTTCAGATAGTATTTGGTAGAAAAGATAATGAAATAGCACATCTAGTATCTTAGTGATTTGAATTTGAAATGTGAAAGTGAGTTAGACAATGGGATCAAATCAATGACGCAAGTTAAATTTGAAAATATGGATGGAGGTCTTTTCGCGTCGTGATAACTCACTATTCGGTTTGAAGTTAGCTGCACAAATGCTTGACCACTACATTGGTGTTCAAGAGAAAGGGGATTTATTCGTGTGAAGTTTTTTGAAATAATGACTAAAGTTAGAAATCACTACAGGTAGAGAAAGAGGGAGAGTACACGAATCGAAATGAATGGACATTAAATTCCAGGAGTCGACTCCAATGCCTTCCTTCAAGTTGTACAATTAAGTGATCAACAGCTTGGAAAGGCTAAAAGGAACTTCACAAGCAACCAATTCGCTTTGTGAAGCATTTGAATTAGAAAAGAAGAGGAAAGAGGTTCATGGATTGCCATGAACCAGTAAACCGAAACGCGGCTGAGCAGAAGAGTAGAAGCTCGAGATGGGAGAATAGGAGATCGAGAGAAAGTCAAAATGCCACATTTATGACAGGAAATGAGACACATATAGAAGCAAGTTGGAAACATGAGTTGAAAAAATAGACACCAATGGGCTATTCTCGAATTCCGTTCAATATCATAAAGAAAACAGAACACGCCACCCCCCCCCCCCCCCCCCTCCCCCAATGAACCACCAAGGATTTGTCATCATAGATGTGGAACAAATCGTGACATTTGAATTTTGGAATATGGGCTAGGCATTTTGTAAATAAAGTTGAATTCGTGGTCAAACATTAAATGAAGTGAGACTCTTTGATGTCCATCTGAATGTTTTTGATCCCTCTCCCCACCCCACCCCACCCTACCCCACTCCCTGATCCTGCGCTCAACTTTGCGCTACCCGATATCAGTCGCTTCAAACAATTAAAAATTGTAGCTTTTTGCATAAATGAAAACGCTCAAATTGATTGGAGTTCAAATATGTCACGCTTCGTCTGTTATTCTCACGTTTTAATTGTGCTCAAAAATAAAACAAATTTCTAAATTTCATTATGGGATGTTATTGCTCAGTGTGATTGCATAAGTGATTCAACGACAAAAGTTGAGTTGTAGAACGAGGTGGCGACAAACAGCATATAGCAATGTAGAAATAATAATTAAATGAAAAAAAGGCACTTAAAAGGAACAGCCACGCCAAAATATCTCCTGAGAACCCATTACAAGAAATAACTCATGAAATATAATATCTGTCTCAATATGAAGGTAATCTAATTGCAAAAGCCTCCTCATTAGGTCAAAACATGATGTTTACAGAAGTTTACCAATTTTAAGGATATTAGAAATAGTAAGAAATTCTGTTAAAAGGATGGAATCAAAACTGTCACCAAGGCGACATTAATTCAAACTCCACAACGTTAGAATAAGAGCCTAGACGTTAATCATCTCCTCAACTATTTGTTTGCATGACTGCTAGCACATGTGACCCAGAAGTTTGGAGGTCATGAGTTCGGAAGTCACAAATGAATTGCACAGACGCTGTTAAAGATTAACCATGAAGCATCGTAATATGAGTGTCACATTCGCAAAAAAACAATGCCATTTTCAAGCACGGAGTGTCAAAAAACCCACATCATTTTCAACAAAGTTCAAAATTACTATTATGGTGGGTTAATTAATTAAAGCAAATTTAGTCAATAAGATGTAGAAGCCGAGTTCTGGGAAATGCTAGCATTCCCTAATCCCCCCCAATGACGTCAAAGCCTAATCCAATCGGAGATAATCCCACTGGTGTTTATTTTAAGCCAAGTTCGCACAATGGGCCTCGTGTAGTAGACAAATGTGTCAACATCCCAATTCACTTCGCCAATAGATCAGGCACAGGGGGATTTGTGAGTGCATTCGAAAGCTGATAGAATACAGCATAACTTTATCTAACCCTTTGATCAGAATGCGTAAATCTATTAGCATAGATCTACCCCTTAGAAGAAGGTAAGTCATAAGACGTCCCATTCCATGCAAGTTATTATTCCATTTACCTTAGAACTTCCCGTCGCAACAACCACAACCAAACGTAGAGGGAAGGCAGTAGAAGGCAAATGTGGGGAATTAAGATTTGCAAAACCACCAAACCAACCACTCTTTCAAATTACTTTTCGGCTAGATTTTTTCTTCACTGCGTTAATTAGTTTACTTTCACGTGATTAGAGTACTTTTGCCTACCACACAGTTCTGTGTGCCAATCACCATCAATTCATTTTTAATGATAGAAAGAGCAAAATTAAATACATAAAATTTAAAGACCACAATCAGGAATTTGTTTTAGATGGATTGCAGTCAATACCTCTTCCTATTATGGAACTACAGAATTCAGACGACGAATGAACAACTTTGTCAATTCGTATGAGTTCAAATTAACATAATTTTGAAGTTGCTTAATGGCGTTTTCCAAAGCAGTGATAAGTCGTCTTTGTTTAAAAGGTCAGAAGGTGCCCCACCCCTACTTCTACCTTTGGACAAATAAACTTTCAACTTCCTCTTCCACTTTTTTGCGTAAAAAATTCCACAACAAAAATGCACTCATCGTCTATTCCTTGGCTTCGGTGCGAAATATTTTTATTTTTATTTTATTTATCTTTTAATCCATTCACATGTATTTGCTAACCAGGAAGAAAATATTTGCACAACTTACCAGAAGAAATGTGACATCTTAACGACTCGAAAGAAAGCACATTTAAACGCAGATTTCAAATGGAGAGACGAACCACATAGAGGACATCTACCTTCTCCAGTAACAAGCATGGTTAGAAGCGAGGGAAAGATCGATGCAGAACAAGGGGTAACAAACTTGACTAAAACCATCCCACCTACGGCTTCAGCAAACCCAATAGAGGAATGAGACGGAACCAGTAGCGCGCGCACACACACACACACACGCACACACACAAATGTATATATCAGAACTAGAACAATTAACAGAGAAGAGGTACAAGCCTCGCGAGCAGTAAGTCGACAAAGCAATTCAGTGAGGACAAAAGCAAAAAATCAATCAGGAGTTTAAGGGCCGAGCGAAGTAAATTGAATGGAATACGGATTAAGATCGATAGGCAATCCACGACAACAGATAATAGCAACGTTTCAACGGGACAAAAAAATATTACCGAGGGTGTTTATAAATTTTAACAAATCTCACTCTAGATTTGTGCCAGTGATGCTCACTAATCAATATAGTTGCTAGCACACAATGAAATGAAGAATTACAAACTATTGAATGGCCCATGAATCATGAAAAGACACACACACGCGCGCGCACTGGTATCAAGTGAGAAAAAACGGGCATGACTAAAAATGCACAAATGACCCACGAATCATAGAAGGAATTAGATGCATTAATAGAGGTTCAACTAATTCTATAATATACACTATATAAGAGAATAACTCTTAGAAAAAAGACGCAAATGATTGTAAAGATACTTTGAAATGCATCACATGATAAACATGCTAAATGGACTTTGAGCAAGCTTTCCAACTTATTGCCCTTGAAAGGTACTACTTATTAGAAAAGTAGTCTATTTGAACATGAGGTGGTATGAAGACAGGGATGCATAATATGCAACAGAACATTGACAATAAGGAGGAAAGTGGAAACAAAGAAGGAATTTGAACCTTAAAGTAGAGCATTTTGTGGCGTATCACTTGCTGTTACGATCTATATCTGTCCTAAAATTGGCATTCTATGAGATTTTTGAGAGCGTGTTCGGTTTCAGCTTCATTTCCAGGTCGAATGGAACCTTGCATGTGAAGGTTGCCAAGGCGAATTTGCAGCAATTTTAAATATTTTAAATTCAGACAAAAAAAACTCGCGAGAGAGAGAGAGAGCAGAAAATTTGAATAATTCCTAAAGATTCGTTGGCGGAACCGCTCCAAGTTTCAGGCGATGCTTGATGAGAGAGATGCAAACAAACAGTTCATCAAAATTGGGAAAAAAGTCGTTTTCCACCGATTCATACCACATTTCTTCCAATTCCACAAAGAAAGGCTTCTAAACAGATATAGCTGAAGGTCAAAACAAGAGGACCTGCAAAAAATACTAGGAACTGAGGAGAGGAGATCAAGCGAGACCAACATCATTCCAATTGTAATTGAATTGTTTGATTGTCTATTGTTACTTGGAAGACAGAATAAAGAAAGGAAAATGAGGAAATTTCAACAAAAATATACAACAATTTTTAGAAGCAAATACAGTTCAAGAAGTCTAGCAGAAGTGTTTCAACTCCACACAGTCTGCGTGAATTATAAAATTTCGCTGTACTAAAGCCATTAAATTCTTTTGATTCAAAATAGGAATGTGCAACATTGAAGTCGGAAATCGAAGTGAAATGGTCATTTACAATCAATTAAGTGGTAGTGATTGGCCTCACTCGTTAAATAAAACTGTTAAACAGATTGCTAGACTTATGAACACGGTCAAGAATGTGCGCCAAATTATGGATACATTATTGAAGTTTGGAAACCGATAGTTCAAGTTGAAAGATCTCCATGAATCACATAAGTCCACGATCAAGACGAAGGAATGATCTTCAACAGCCTATATGTAAGACTCAAGACCATTTTTTACTAATGAAATCCGGAAAGCAGAAAGCGTCTGTATTGTTCAATTTTCAGGCAAAAACTCCAGCTTCCCGCCCCACCCTTTCTCATCCTGTTCCATCGTATTGTCATACAGAATTAAGCAAAAATTTGATCACGAATCTCTCAACCAAGCAAAAGTGGAGAGCCATCCACTCCTTCAAATAACTGCGGTGACTAATTTTCACACCTAACAGAGAATTAAGGTGACACTGACCGTGGCGTTCTCAACAGCTATTTATAGGTGAGAAGAGTAAAAAAGTCAGGTCAAGAACTCACCGCCACCCATTTTGAGGTAGAGCTGCTTTCGAATAGCGCGAATCCAATCCCTCCTTTCAGCCGCCGTCGATGCACTCAGGAAGAGGGATTGTTTTTGATCGGCTCCCCAGGCTTTAGCTGAGAGAGAAGAAGAAAACGCATTCATTAGGAAGTTGCATGCATTCTCCATACTCTGCCAATTCAATACCACAATGAGATCCTCTATGCCTAACATGTCAATACTAGTCTTGTCTACCTGTGATGGATGCAATAAGATTAGAACAGCCGTCCAAGTAGCCTTGAATATCAATGATCAAAGCATGGAAGCTGAGTTATGGAATGCTTGAACACCACAAATTGGGTCATGCCTTTTCTTAAACCATTTGACAACTCAGTACTTTTATAGGGAACAAAGTAAGTAGGACTTTTCACATTCTCTTCCTATTATACACTCTGTTTTCACTCTCCGTTATTCCCCAAATGAACGGTCCTTTTTCTTTATTTCGGTTGGTCACTATAACTCCAACAAGTTTAACAACATTACTATGCGTGATATCACAATTATATAGAAAGAGATAACCATATATTTTTTTTCACAACTAAGTCACAAGCAAACCCCATCTCCTAATTTCAAACACAGGCAATAATATCTGAGGTTTATTAATTTTTTTAAAGACAAGGTCTTCACATAAGGCCTCCCATTCACGTTGCTGACAGCAATATTGAAAGCTGATTAGCTGTCATTATCGGATACTTGTAATTTTAGCATAAAATAAGCTAATTAAATAGAAGACTTAATGAAGAGGCATTTATGAGACATTTCTCCAACTAAAAACATCAATTGTCTCGTGAATATTCACATGAATAAGGTACCCACATAATATGGCTCATGTTGGATCCAAAACAAATTTTCCTGTGTATTTTGAAACCACACAGGCGCCTAACTATGACAAGAGGGTGAGAAAAAATAAACAGTTCTAGACTAAAAAAAGGACAAGTTATAAAAAATTCCAAAAAAGAAGGTATTATTATTATATCAAATGGCAGGCGTTTTGATCGTTATCGTTAGCCCTTTAGTTGACTTCGATCTTCACAGAGGGGAAGGAACATCAAAGTGTAAAAAATTCAAGAGGGGGGGGGGGGGAAACAGAAGAGTGTATCAAAGACGAGGGTAGATAAGGTGGAAAAAAGGTGGGATGAGTACTGTGAAAGTAGTCGAATATGACATACAGTGGGGTCATGGTAGTTTGAAGTCAACTGCCAGGTAATAGACTTTTTTGGCGTATGAGAATACGTTGCCCAGGGCGCACTACGTGGAGGTAAGTCTATCACACACTCCCCAAAAAAGAAGGTAAGGAACAGCATTTTCCAAAGCTTAAAATGAAGAAAGTTGAGGTGTGCACCATATTGAGGACCACATGATGGCAAGCTCGAGTCCTAACACTCTTTCAACGTTAGAATTAATCAATGAGATGGGGCAATTCTGTTCACTAAGTGTGGACCGATGAGTCCTGAACCCCGATAGGCTAACCACTGTGTCACCTACGCAATTTAAACAAAGCCAAGGCAAGTAGGATGACATTCAAGAAATCGCAAAATCAGAGAGAATGAGAACATTGAGGCGCACAAAAGAGATAAGTCAGAGAGCGTTGAAGCTTAGTAATGCATTTCCATTGTTTTAGATTGGCATTAAGAGCGTAGTCGACTGATGCATATTCAGGAATTTGAGATGGCCAGGTTACTTTATCACCAAGAGGTCATTATTTTGGCTCGTTAGCACAAATTGTATTTCTTCTGGTGGGGTATGCGACAGACATACCTCCACGTGATGCACCCTGGGCAACGTATACTCTTACGGCAAAAAAGTCTATTAACTGGCGGTTGACTTCTGACTTCAAACTACCAGGACCCCACTGTATATGATATTCGACCACTTCCACAGTACTCATCTTACTTTTATTCTGCCTTTGTGTCTATCTATCTGTCTCTCTCTTTTACATCTGTGAGTCACTCTTCTGTTCCCTCCGTCAAAACTTTGTTACACTTTGAAGTTACTCCCCTCTTTGAACCCCGAAGTCAGCTAAAGGCTAATAATAACTATCAAAACGTCTGCCATTTGATATAAATATTAATTCTGGTAGAATATTGTTCACTGAAACAAATTTTAGATAATTTAAAAGCACTAATTAAGTCTGGATGTTCGTGTGGCACTGATTAATCGTAAACTGTAAAAGCAGGAAATAAGGAGCTTTAGAGTGGAGGGACTAAGAAATTGATGAAAATAAATTTTTTTAGTCATATTTCGTTGATGCACAAAAGCCTCGGCAAATCAACGTAAATATTACCCACGTTTGCAAAAACAAACGTCTACCTCTACATCCACGCATAAACGACAGGGGCCAGACCATTTTGCCAAAGAGAAATGAATCAAATCGGCGCTTAAATAAAAAGATTTCTAAACAAAACTCAACACACTACGAACAAGACTCTAACAACTGAAAATAATGAATGATGGGAGAGATAGTGCCTTTTTGGCCATTTACGCTTTTTTTCCAAATTGAGCAAAAGTAGTAATGTGCAATTGAATTTATGCCGATTTCATTGTGAAGCAATTGAAAGGCTACCTTAATCGCACATACCAATTAGTTCACTTGATTAGAATAAGACGAGGCGCTAAAATTCTATTTTTGGATGCTAAAAAATTATACAAATGACAAGAACGATCAAGCACCACATATCGCGGAATGACATTAAATTAAAAATGACCCCTCTTGAAGAACCTTTTCACATACTATTCATATAAACAAACATTTACTGTGGTATTACTGATGTTCTAGAGCTCTAAAATGAGTATGAACAACTTTTAATAGTCTGACCAATGGTGAATGAAAGCGCAATATGACAAATTCGGCTGAAAATTATAAAAACTGCAGTTTGAGTCTCTTCAAGGTCTTATTGAATAGGCCTGCTAGAGCTTAGAAATAGTGTCAATTGGGTGGGAGATTTCGTGAATGAAAGCTGGGCCATCTCCAGAACTTACCAATTCGATGGAACAAGAAGGTGAGGCCTTGAAATTGCTTATTCTTTTCAAGTCAAATCATCCGCTTAATACCAGGCACCCATAATAATAGTAGAAATAATTAAGTGAGGCAATTACAGAAAAAAACAATTACTAAAGAAGAAAGCATAGGCAAATTCATAGCTTAGACATACTTGGCAAGAGGAGGGCCTATCACGACGCAAAAAAAGTTCTAATGAGTCGATTTTATTTTCCAAAAAAACGAAGTCCTATATAAAAGAACTGGAATGTCACTAATTATAAGCTACCGATTGTGGAAAGTCAATTTTCTTACTTTTTACGGAACTAATAGCCGCTTTAAGTAATGTCCACTCATTCTACTGCAAAGTTAATCACAAAAAGACGACGTTAATTAGAAATTCAATCTCATTCTCAGATAAAATAAATTAGAAGTGAAATTCTACAGTGCCTTCATTGACGGTTATAACTCGGGAAGCAAAATGCACCCGAAAATACGGATTATAAGATCAGTGGAGACAAGCATTTAGGTCACCTTTAGAGCCTCAAAGTCTGGCTGATTAGACGCTAATTCTTAGAGAGATGTACGAGAAAACAAGTACTAATTAGTTGAAGAGACGGTAAAGACAGAAGCCGCAACATATCGATTAATCCATACCCATTTCTTGCACAATAGATCAACACACATAACCTAATTGGGAACGTTACTTAAAAGGGGACTTGAGTGGAGGGAAGCCTTGCGATCTTCAAGACGATGTCCAAACCGGAGTAAGAAAAAAGTCCTTGTTGTTATAGCGAAAACTCATTACAGTTTAATTTGAAATATGCACAGTAGTTTTTAATTCACTTAAACAATTTGAGAAATAAGAGTTATTACCAATAACAATGGAAAGAATGCATTAGATAAAATACTTATTTCTATAAGCAAAAGCATATGATGACTTTCCATATGTGCATTTTCACTTTAACAGAAATTTATCCTGAAAACGCTATTAGAAGAATCGCATTCTACCAATCCAACTGCCGACCTGAGATTAACGGGTGCAGTTGGTCGCACACATGGCTGGATATGCAACGATGAGCACCAATCTTGTGAAATCTGACTAGGCAGACACGCATCCCAAACTCTTATTGAAGAGTGGGAAATAATTATGAAGATTGTGGAATAACTCAAGTACGACCTTCCAACCCCCCCCCCCCCACATCAACACCACCTATATTTACCAGACTAGAAGAGCGTGATTGGGTTTTGCGGTTCATTAAGTATGTTTGGAAGGGCACGACCCCTGACTTCATAGGTCACCAAAATAACAGCGGCGTTGGCGGCGTACAAAAAATGGAATTTATCTCATCATCTCGTCAACTAACTAAGACTAAGGCGTCACGTGTAGGAAGAGGATGGTTTTTTAACAAGACGATCAAAAGAAGGGCTCGAATCACGCCCTAGTGGGTTTCAAATTCGCAGGCTTGGAAGAAATTTTTTGTAAACTTCAAACACGTAGAAAACATTATAGGCACGCGCAAATGTTGTTTACACAATTCATCAAAGTGTGCAACAAAATTGGATCTATGCGCATGCGTGCGCTAGCTTGCATATGATGATGATGATGAGGAGGAGGATGATGAGGACCCAGCTACACGCAAACAAAGTGACTCAGAGCAAAAGGCCGCCAAATCTGTTGAATAACTTTATGCATAGCACAAGTAAATGAAGTTGGCAAGGAAAGTAGAAAATTGTGTGTTAGTGAGATAGAGAAGTCTGACTATGCTCACTTAATTTGTGGAAACCCCCAATGCAGACTAGAATAAACCGAGCACTTTAGTATTGAATAACGCTTAAATGCCTTGTTGCTGGAACAGATTTGTGAGATAGGTGAATTCGAACATGCAAATGGATAGAAACCTATCTTAGATAGCCCATACCACTCGGTGGACTCCATAATTAGGCTTGAATCATTAGTAAGAGACTCAAGATGACCCCAATTCACATCAAACCCTCTAGAATGTTGTACCAATTACCCAATCTTAAGCTCATTGACTACAATGCTGACAATCATGTGTCGTCTTTATTCAAAACATGTTCAAACCAACTAATTCAGCGTGAAGGGCACAAGAGTGGTGTGGGTTAGGTAGTTCTCCCACTTTCCTCAACGCTGTCCTTTTCAATCACGTTTTAACACCTCTCATCCTACGAACTATATAACGCCACCTACTAAAGGGTAGAGGGATAACTCGAGACACCTAGCGACGTTACCCTTCTATGATTCTCTAGTATTTTCTGAATATCCTCAATAAATCCTGCTCTAATTTTTTTGTTAAGATGAATATTGAGACAATCAAGAACGATCCGTCTCCAAAAACCACGAATCAGCGCCAACAATAAAACGGAGGACAAGAAACTACTTTAATCCAAAGATCAATCTAATAAATTTCACATCTTTTTTTAATGCTACATCGAGAATTATAAGCTATTACGAAAGTTGTGGCAGAATAGAATAATGCATTGTAAGGAGATATGTGTTTAGGTAGCAAAAGGTAAATATAATGAGAAAATAAGACAGGATAAAAGGAGATAAGGTAAGTGTGTGATTCTGATCGATTCAAGTCAAAGACGCGTCATTTAATTAATGCATATTAATAAGATCATGAGAGCGAGAGAGCGGCAGTGGCTGCAGACAATTGGCTTCCCCGCATTAACAAGCCAGTAGACAAAAGAGCTATCATTAAGCCCACCTTCTATGACGAAATCGGAGATATTTAAGGAAAGAGACTTGTGATGTGCTTCTAGAGGAATGAAATAGACACAGTAGAAGCAACACCATGCATTCAAGAATAGCGATGGGGAAATGATCAACGCATACACACGTCAAATCAGATGTCATGAGATTTATACTTACTAGTGCACATTCTAAGTTAAAAGCAGGCCAACACGTATAAGCAAATTTTGGACAAATTACTGATAGACGAAAGTGATATTATTATAAAGGAAAGATTAAGGCTATACTTCGGAGGTTCGGGAAGTAGACAGTTAAATAAAAGAAAAGATTAGCAACATTCACATCCAAACGTTGGATTTCACACGATCCGGATGTAAGCCATTAAGGCAGTAGAAAGTACGTACTTGAAGGCAGTGTTAGTCTGGAGGTACATAAATTTACTGAGTTCTGTACTCAAATACACAAATTCAATAGAAAGGTTTCTAACAAACTCTAAAAGCACTCAACTGCAACACATATTTTGAAATAAATATGATAAGAGAGAAGATTAATTAAGTGCAATTTCCCGAAAAATGACGTTTTAGTTAAATACATCAATTACAGGGATCATTTGTTTCATGGCTAATTTTATGAAGCCAAAAAAACAACTTTCAAAATCACGAAAGAAGGAGAGAAAACACCGTAAATCGCTACCTACAACAATGTTTGCCACAATCTAGCAAAGAATATAAATGAGCGTATACAGGAGTTTTGACAGCACCTTATAAAGAAATAAGAACTTAGAACTCACCTCTCTTCACAATGAAATTATAAGCTTTATCATCGGAAGTGCTATCGTTTTCACAGGTTATAATTTCCATAGCATCAGGTGGACCGATTTCTAAGGCATCAATGAATCGAATTAATTCCGAATCGGCGTAATACTCCAGGCTCCCTTGCCGTAAAACAAAATAACGACGCTTCCATGTACGAAATTTTCCACCCTGCTTGCGCAACCACCCACTGTGTTGATTTTGAACGACCGAACCATTAGATGTGCCCATCCGAACGGAACTCTAAAAATAAGATAAAGAATACGTGTAAAACGTGGAAGAAAATCGTATACATTTTAGCAGAAATGGGAATAGAAATAATGAATTGTCTATGTAGCAAATTGCTACACTAGTAAAGCCTTGACTCACTCAGAAATCTCTATGGCAGTATCTCCTATATCTCCTGAATTAGCTAGGCTATAGAGAAGCTATGGAAAAAAGACGTATTAAAAAGAACACGTTTATTGGAAAATATCTCATCGACAAAATAAGAATAATCAGCAAATAAATCTAACATAATTGGAGTGAATAATAATAGCAAAATATCTGAGCACAGCTCTACGTGTACGGTTATACGCTCCAAATCCTGGCGTGCGTTCATGTGATGACGTTTCCCACACATCGCAAGAATAAAACTGTACTTACTAACGATCAGAGGTGACATTTCCATCGAATAGGGGACACATAACGAAACCTTATTATTCTGGTTAGATTTAAAACCTTTAATTAGACAGAAACATTACTAGCAATTATTATATAAGGTTTAAAAAAATCAACATAAATCTCAAATGTCATAAGATAACAAAGGGCATAAATATTATAATAGACTTAATGTCAAAATCGATTATTAAGAGATCAATTACACTTCTTGTGAATTTCCTCGTTGACATTTCTGTCGATGTCTATCAGCCAATGAAAATAAGACTTTTTAATTCAAACATTGTGGGGGTATTCTAGGCCGTCACTCGACCTTAAATAATTGAAAAGAATTAATAATAGATCACAAATTATCTAATACCTTATAGATTTACATAATCCTCCTCTTTTAGTGACATCAATATTATTAAAGGTTAAAATATTTGTCAAGTCTTAAAAACTTTTAGTATTTTTGAACAAAATATTTTAAAATGTCACGATTTGTACTCATCAATAATTTGCATGTCTAGATGCTTTATGGGATATTCATTTGGTGATTTAAACTTTAAAGACAACTTAAATCTTTTATTAATAGATATATTTTGATTAATTTCAATTAAGTGTGATAATTAAATGAGAATCAGTTTCAGTATCAATGATACAAACTCCAAACAAGCATATTTCGTTGACTTTCATATCAAAATTTCTTACCATGTGTTAATGATTGTCTCACTATACAAATATTATTTCTTGAAGGATGCTTAAACTTCACCCTTAGTTCTATTTAATATATATTGTATTCTAGAGTGCGGGATCGATATTGGCACTTCCATGTCTAACACACATATGCGCATTATCATCATTATCATTTCGCGTTATTATATTCTCTAAATTATAAAAAGATAACATCAATTTAATGATTGTCATATATGGGAGTTTATGCATGAATAATTTTAGGTAAGTTTATTTAAGTATAATTCTCTAAAAGGTTTATTTCGTCGTATAATTGACGGTGATATAATCTTGATTGCTAAAACCTGGACAGATCAAACCTATGATAGGTGCGCGGAGATATTTAAAATTGCTGCTGTCAAGAAAATAATATTCTTTTCAAAAATTATTTTCATTGGTAAGATTCTACAAGTTCAGCGTTTTGCCTTCCTCTTATCGCGATTCTCCTTATTCAGACTAATTTGCTTGCATCACTTCGCATATTGTAATCCGAAACTTCAAAATTATGTGGACGCCGTGTACTCAACCTTACGATTTTGATCAATTGGAATTGCGGCTAAGTTTATTGGTATTAGGAAACATTTTCTGATTTGGCTTGTGGTGTGCACAACACTTTCACGGCTAAACGAAGCAAACTCTTTCTGAACGTGCAACAGTGCTGCTATTCGTGTTTGAGATCAAACGAATTCATAAGTGTAAAGGTCTCTCAGTCAAGAAATCATCAATAGTTACTACAGGGTCAGCGTACCCAAAACTGTATTTAATGACTCTGTTCTGCACCGGTGACATCATAATCATAAGCATAATGAACACAACTTTAATAAACATATACCATGTCACATACCTCGATTCATCGACAATTTTGAGGTAGTTTATTCAACTTGGAAAGCCATTTCGTACTTAAAACGTTACCAAAGAGATGACTGAGGCTTAACCATTTCTTATACTGGGTGGAAATCCGCGATTGTATTTAAAACAAACTCGAAAATACAAATACAAAATTTTAGTCCATAACTAGTTATTAACTTGAACCGGAGGTTTCATAAAGTTGTTAATATACTTCAGGATCACAGGGGCATACAACAAAAGGCGTGATCTTAGATCTTCGAATTATTGATATTTGCTTACAGAGTAGGGTCTTTTGAGTGCAACATAGGGTCTTAATCTTGGGCGCTTGACTCCTCAACTTACCTTATAATACTTTATTCCTAGATCTCTCACTAAACGTGCATGTATCCAGCTAAATTCTAGTTCTTCTCATTTTAAAAAGCCGTTAATATTCGGGTTGACAATAAAACTTGTCTGAGGATTTCTAATCCTGACTTAGCAAGGAGTAGAGCTTCGCTCATCTCTATTCGATCCGTTTTCCATTTGCAGTCAAAAGTAAGCAGCAGAGGTCAATTTGTATCGTGAGCCTATCGGTTAAAATATAAGTAAAAAAATTCATTTAGGAGGTAGAAATTCCCCTCTCCTGCACATCTGTGCTGTGTCACCTGCAGTCTAGCAATACACCCACTTACCGCATAAATTTCTTTGCAATACAACTGTAATAAACTAGCATACTCTGTAAAAACACCATAGTCGCTCTATTGAATCGCTATCAGATTTGAGAAATCGGTCAACCTCCAATACTACTTGAATTTTAAGTAAAACGATTAGCATAATAATTTATTGATTAATTTATTTTAAATGGCAGGCTTTGTGATATTTATCCATAGCCCTCAAACTTTGACTTCAGCTTCCCCCAAGAGTGGGGGATACATAAAGAGCAGTTAATTAATAGCAGTTCATTAGCTGACTTCTTGCTTCCCAGTATCTCTGACTTTCTGTTGTTGTCTTTAGGGCTGGAAACCGAATCAGGTGGGTCTTCTCCATTTCCTCCTGTAGGTTGCATAGAGGGCATGTGGGTTGAGTGTACACTCCCAATCTGTGAAGGTGTTTTGCCAAGTAATCGAGTACGGAACGTAATCTAAACTCAGCAACGGCTTCGGTTCTTGGCCAGTCGGGTATGTCGGAGAGTGCCACTGTCCACTGTTTCTCCTTTGTTCGAGCTTTAAGTTCGTTGCACCTTGAGGTGCGGAATTCTCTTCCGATTAAGGTCTTCATTGTGTGGAAAGATATCGGCTAGTCCATGCATTGCAATATCGTTGTCCCCTTCTTAGCAAGTGTGTCAGCAAGCTCATTGCCTTGAATGCCACAGTGACTAGGAATTCATTGTAGGACCACTGTTTTGTTTTTCTCTCTCAGCAGCTCATAGAGTTTTCTACATTCCTTTATCTCAACTGTTTTGGGTGGCTCTCTGCTTCCAATTGAGTTTATTGCTGACTGTGAGTCCGAAAGTATCACCGCTTTGGTGAATTTCGTATCCAGACAACATAATTGGCAAAGCGCTATCCTAATAGC